TCAGTAATTCCATAGAGAAATTTGTTTAAACCTATCAAGTTACCATTACATTTTTGGTTAGGTTCATTCAATTTACGTTCGGTTGGGGTAATTCGACAGACGAAATTATTAAACAGATAGTAGTTCGGTTTTCGATTTGGTTGGTTTAATTCGGTTTAATATTTCTGCCGCCTCTAATATCGTATTTATTCTTGAGCCCTGAAACATTTATTTTCTCCGTTATCTTCTAACACAAGGAACGATCGATCTTCAAAAATTCCATGGAAAAAGCAACAAACATGAAACCTATGCCTACTTATCTCATCATCAAGCTGTTCTCGAGGTTGCCGGCGAAATCAGTCGGTAGATCGATTCTAAGCGGTCCTGATTTCATAGAGCTGTTTCGGCTCATGTTTGCAGTCGAACGAAAAGGTTCGTGGAGCTTCTTCTCTTCGCCGTAGCCTTTGTCGTCTTGTGTAGTTGCTGTTGATTTCAATTCAGATTCTCTGAAGATATAAGGGTAAGTTAGGTGGGATTGAGTGCGACTATGGTAAAGCTGGTGGAAAGTATACTCTTAAGTTGTATCTTCACGTGCTAGAGGATGTCGAGAAACAAGAATGGTCGAAGAATGTCTACACTTTCCAAACTCCTTGGTGATACCTCCAAAGTTTTTGTCGCTGGAATGACGGCTACGGGTGAGATTGTCTTGGCCATGGACTATACATGCAAGCCATATTACGTTTTCTACTTCAACCCCGAGATGAACACTCTGCGAAGTGTTGAAATCCAAGGTTTTGTACACTTTGAAGCTGTTGAATATCGCGGTAGAGTTTCTGCCTTTGTGGACCATGTTGAGCATCTGGATGTTGAGGATTTTAAGCAACTCAAGTCAACAGGCAATTTTGCTAATCAAGTCAAGCGTCTCTGCCCCAACTGTGAAGAACAAGAGAAGGGGGAGAGAGATAGGTGAAAGTAGGGCAATGTGGAATGTCATTTTTTTCTTCTCTATCTATGCGTTTTATGTTCTTTAGTTTTGGTTTTGGTGTCTGTTAATTAATCTAATCTTAGATAAAAAAAAAATTTAATTAGTGACTGTGTAAGAGAAACTCAAATTAATTCTAAGACTTGGTTTGAGAAAACACAAAATGGCTTTGGTAAGAGATTTCTTGGTGACTCTGTTGCAACAACTAATTCACAATTGAACATTACAATGCTTATACAAGTAGCTATGTGCAGTGTGCTTACGCTTCTCATCGATTCAAAAGGGAATATGCAACTTATTTGGATGAAGAACACTAACAGAGAACTTCGTGAGCTATCATTCGCTTCTTAGGGTCTCTGATGATCATCCAACGAACCAAATCTTTTGCGCTTTCTGATACACTAGGCCATGGTTCTGATATAAAATCAAGGTCACCTTTCGAAACCTACTCAAAGATGCCTTGTTCTGTTTCTGATATTATAACAAAAACCAATCAGTCACTACTATTTGGTACAACCATTGAACAAGCATGAATTAAACTGTCTCTTAATTACCATCCCAAAACTGAGTAACGCCACTTAGTAAGACGTATATAATAACTCCAGCACTCCATACATCACATTCATGACTATAGTGTCTCCGTAAAACATCTGGAGCCACATAATAAGGACTCCCAAATAATCAGTGAATGTTTCTCCTGTAAGGGAACAAAATCAGAACATGAAGATGTTCAAACAACAAGAACCATGGATCCTTCTCGTTGTGTATATATGTATATTGATTCTGTGCACATAAAGGAAACAGTTTGATTAGTGACTGTAAGAGAAACTCAGATTAATACCAAGACTTAGCTTGAGAAAACAAAAGGGTTTCTTCTTGCAGTGTATGTGGGAGAGAACCAGAGAGACATTGTGCCAGTCTCTTCCTTGTACCACCCTTTGTGTCAAACTCTTATGATTAAAGCAGAGGAACCGTTCGGATTGAAACATCCGACTGGCGGCTTGACGATCCTTTGTCATGGAGATACTTTGGGTCATCTTCTCAAGATAGATGACATTTTTTCATCTTTCTTAATAAAATATTTGATCCAAAGGATAGAAATTCCAATGTAAATGCCAGTTTTATGTAATAGTAAATGATGCAATCAATCAAAAGACAAACTTATTAAACTTTATCGAATTATTATAAATCTCAGTTCGGTTTTCAATTCGGTTTAATTTTTCTGCCACCTCTAGTATCCTATTTTCTCCGCCGCTGCTTTCCATTATCTTCTAACACAAGAAACGATCGATCTTCAAAAATTCCATGGAAAAAGGAACAAACATTCCGAATGATCTCATCATCGAGATGTTCTCGAGGTTGCCGGCGAAATCAGTCGGTAGATTTCGTTGTCTGTCGAAGCAATGGTGCTCGATACTAAGCCCTCCTGATTTCACTGAGCTGTTTCGGTCTCTTGCTCGTCCACGGCTCATGTTTGCAGTCGAACGAGAAGGTTCGTGGAGCTTCTTCTCTTCGCCTACACTTTGTCGGAGAACAAACTCCTTGGTGATACCTCCAACTGCTACGGGTGAGATTGTCTTGTCCATTAACTATACATGTAAGCCGTATTATGTTTTCTACTTCAACCCCAAGATGAACTCTCTGCAAAGTGTTGAAATCCAAAGTTTTGAAGACTTTAAAGCTGATAAATATTACCGTCTTGGTAGAGTTTCTGCCTTCGTGGACCATGTAGAGGATCTCAATGTTGACGATTCACTGCAACTCAAGTCAACAGTCATTTTTGCTAGTACGGATAGGTGAAAGTAGGGCAATGTGGACTGTCATTTTTTTTTTCTCTATCTATGCATTTTATGATCTTTAGTTTATAGTTATATACTCTGATTAATTAAGTTTTTCTCCCATCTCTATTTAGTTCTGAATCAACCCATAGTAATGAATACAAAACAGTGATTGTAGAGTTTATACAGTATAAACTCTCATGATTTGAAGATATTTTAATTTTTTTAAAAATTTTTACCAAAAAAAAAAAACCTCTCATGATTAAAGCCGAGGAAGCGTCCGGATTGAATCATCCAACGAGCGGCTTAACGACCCCTTGTCGTGAAAATACATTTTCTCTCTGTTTCACGCCTCCAAGGATGATCATTCTCTCAAGAAAAAGCTTTTGAACAATTTTTTGACTCTATACAGATGACTTTTTTTTCATCTTTCTTAATGAAAGATTTGATCCAGAGGATAGAAATTCCGATGTAAATGAAGGAATCAGCAGTCAATAATCCAAAATCAAGAAACTTTCAAAAAAGATGAAAATGACACAGAGAATGGTGGAAGCTATGTTAGAATGTCTCACCTTGAAGATCCTAAGTGTTAAAAGACGTTGTAGTGTAGCCACTTATCCACGTGATTGAGACATTAAGTGACTTGTGCTTGTGAAACTGATAATGAAAAGCTCATCAACAAAAATATAGATAACACCCTACCTATGTAAATGATATTGTAGAGTTTATATGTCTACATATTAATGCTGTGTACATAAAAGGAAACACTTTGATAAGTGTGAGTGTGTAAGAAAAGGTTAGATTAATACCAAGACTTAGTTTGAGAAAACACAATAAGACTCTTGGTGGCTCTGTTGCTAGAACGAGGAAAGAAACTTGAGTACCAAAAGGGTTTCTTGCTCGGA